AATCTAAAAGATTAAAAAAAAATCTTCAAACACCATACTTCAGCGATAATAAAGGGGAGTTCTGGCTTCAGAGAGAATAAATCAATTAGGTTGTCAACACACAATCTCTCAGGGCTCAGAGCACAATTGAGTGGCAGTGTTCCCACATTGGAAACAACTCCCATTTATTATCATTATAATGCCTGCAAGAAAGAAGAGTTTGCATAAAAATGAAAATGTGAATTAACGTCTACTCTGCCTCCCTAATTGCTGCTTCTTCCCATTAACAAGGCTAGTATTTTAAGCCCAGGAGTTTCCTTACTTTTTTTTTTTGTTTTTTTCAAACGCAATTTGTAAAAGGCTTCTCAGAAATGCAGTGGATTCAAATAGAAACTAACAAAAGAAGGCCGATGAAAACAGGGGACTCCTGAAACATCAGTAAGAAAAGAGTAACGCTATTGCTAAAACTTAATCACTGACAAGATGGGTATTTAACCACAAGATAAAAAAGGGCAAGAAAATTGAAGGATCATGTTTGCCAATTCAAACCTGCAGACATCTCCAAGGTAGATAATAAAATAAAATAAAATAAAATAAAATAAAATAAAATAAAATAAAATAAAATAAAATAAAATAAAATAAAATAAAATAAAATAAAATAAAATAAAATAAAATAAAATAATCATTTTGTTTACACTTGGTCATCTATATAGCTTTTTAATATCCCATTTCATAACACCACACAAAATGACAAGTTCATTAAATGTTCAATGATGCAACTGTGTTTAAGAATGAAGAATACTGTTACTCTGCACTTTTAGGTCAGCTTTTTATGAGCTATTGTGAAACTATTTTATACAAGTGGACTTTATTATACCTAGAGAAAGGGAATGAACATGGAAATAGAGAGGCAGAATAACACTTTTATTAAATCCTTTTCAGGATACAACTCACCAAAGTTTGCTTGCCTAAAGGTTAGGAGTCTTGTTCACACTATCCATCTAAGTCTCTCTGGTTAGGGAAGAGGGATATGAGCTCCCACAGAGCTCATCTCACCCACAAAACTCAACAGAGAGGAGCTGAGAGTAGCATGAGCCAACATGCTTAGCTTGGGCCAGGCACCTGACTTTAAATTGCTGAAGGTAAAACTTATCCTACGTCATTTTCCTGTTTTCTGATTTCATACCTAGCATCCAACTCCCAGTTGTGAAATTGTGATTGGTAAACTATTAGTGGGCAAGCAAAAACTCAAGGATGATCATCAGAGGGCCTGAAGATCACTGTCTATTGGTAGTTAACCTCTACCTTGTCCCTATTAACATGTCTCTGCTGGGATACTGGTGAAATGCCCCAGTGCCAAGAAGCAGCTAGAAGTGGGAAGGGAGAGGAAGCTTGGTGTCAGCTAGCAAGAAGGGAAAAGCAACTCTCCTCATTATCTGAAAGCTTCTAGTGCTTGGGATTTTCAGGTAAGAGTGGCAAGGAAACAACGAGGAATGAAGGAAAAAATAACTTTGAGCATCCAAAAATTATGATAATAGAGTAGAATAAAACAGCTGGAAGGGGCCTACAAAATCCAAGCACAACTGCCAAGGGCTCATAACGTGAGACAGTTTGTAAAGTGCGTTTAATAATATCAATTACAAGATGTGTCTTGAAGATAAACTCAAAACACGTTAGAAAAATACAATTGCAAGAACTGACAAAGGAAAAACGTTCTGAGAAAAGGGGAGAATTTCAAGTAGAAAAGTATAAAGGCAGCAGAGGAGACAACACCTCAAAGGACAAACAAACATGAATGACATGTGTTCTGCATATTCCACTTTTTGTAAGAGCTCCAAGTGCATAATACTGCAGGACTGTTAGATCTATTTTGAACGCAAAATCTTCCTGTCTGAGAAGCTGATGTAATTACAACAAGCAAGCATGGTGTAAGAGAAGTATTTCCTACAATTAGTGACAGGAAAAGAGGTATCCAGCGTGACGAAACTGTCCTTCTGTGTGCAACTGGAGACCTGCCGGCACTGGCTCCTTCCCCGGCCTCACGGACAGCTCCATGGTTGCCATTAACTAGCAGGGTAGGCATCTGGCGGGCCCAAGGCTTCCTGTGTCGACTAAAATTAAGTGTTTCCCTCCCTTCTCTTACGCTTTCACCAGCTGTGAACTGAAAATAGTAACATGCAGGGTATGGTTCAGTCTAACCGCGCAGATCTTTGGGATGAAATACGCAAAGTGCCTGACGAGTCATGCAAATGGGCAGTCTTGCTTGATCTTGGGATTAATGAAGGCATATATCACAGCACATAACATTGTTACTTGCAATGCCAAAGGAACCAGATTAAGTGACCCAGCATGTCCTTCTGGTCCTGTGTTGCTGCCTTTCCCATAATTTATTAACTTGATTTAATGTACAGAACAGCACTGTCACTGAAAGAATAGAAACAGAAGAATGTTGCTTTCTGAAGCATCAGTAACACTCCTTCTACCTCTAAATTGTCACCACACAGTCAGTTCGGCAAAAGCTTCCAATTGAGTAATTCTGCTTTACTTTGGGGTTCAGCTATGATGAAGCAGTTTACTATAATATAAGCTGAACCACAGTAACCACTTTGTCCATATACTATTAATTCACTGAAAAGGTGAAGCAAAACATGTCTCTCAGACCTCTGAGAAAGAGTGCTACTCAAATGCACTTTGTCTTTCACTCCATGAGCCTGGAATGTGTAAGTTACCAAAACTGGTGACAATCTTACCCAGGTTTTATGGGGGTCCATGCAAGCACCAGCTCCAGCTCTACTTGGGAGAGTGGACCAAAACAGTGCTGAACCACCCCAGATGTCACCTCGAAAATTACTGCAATTAACATGGAAAGAGGATTCTCCCATACTGTGCTAACAACAGGCGACAAACTATGCACAGAGAGGACACACCTCTCTCCTTTGGCAATTATTATTTTGGGGTACAGGCTCAAAAAGTTGATGTAATTAAATTAAATTACATTTGTGACAAATTCATTTGCTTTTGTTATCCTTTTTTTTAAGGTAAAAGTTGAATTTGCAAGCCTGCAGAAATCCTTACTGAAATGAGGGCACAAAATTTGAGTGGCAACACTAATATTAAATCTTTAAAAGTCTGATAAATGCCATTTGTAGTTAATACAGAATGGAATATAATATATATTCGATATAATAATAATAATAATAATAATAATAATAATAATAATAACAACAACAATGACATCTAATATATAATATATAATATATTATATATTATATATAATATAATAAAATGGAAAATCAAGTGAAAAAATGATAACTTAAAAATTCTGTTTTCTGTGTGGGTCAAAATCTGGCTTCTTCTCCCCAGATTTTAACATTAAAATAAGCACAGAAAAGAGTAGTTTCAGAGAGAAAATGGTGTGTGTGAAACTTTCTTTAAATTCCAAAATGATCTGAATTGTGCATCTCACCACAATGTTCTGAAGGAACACTAACACGAGGTAAAGTATTGCCATAAATCATCTGATATTTTATTGTAGTGAACATCTGGTGCTCCTGGATATAGCTATGTAGTCAAAGGAGCACTTGAAAAGGAAGAAGGAATGCCAGGTACATTCATTAGTGAAAAATAATGTTCAAACCAGGACTTCTTTTGCTTTTGCCATTAGTATTAAACAGCTTATGAAGTTATAAAGACATTAATAGTTACACTGATTTATTGTATTTCCAAATTAAGACCACACCTTCAAAACCTTTCGTTGAATAGATGCCAAAAGACTGCTAAAGTTAAGTTTGACATACTGGATGAACAACGCATTATTAAGCTCACCAAAAATCTTAGCCAAAGCCATGTCTTTCAAAAGCAGATACTAATGTTTGTTTGGAGGTTCAATCACTTGAGTAAATAAATACCCAAAATTCAGAAAACACCTGAGTGCAAAGAAGCACAAGGCAGAGTCCAAATCAACGCTTGTGAAAGCTGGTACATCTACATAGCACAGTGTTCTCCTAAGTGGAGTAATTTGGGCCCAGACTGCACTGACATGGCATAGTGCCTGGGCTAACATGTCCTGCCTTTCAGCAGTTTATTACTTCAGGCTTAGTGCCAAACTGACAGGGCTATAGAGCATCAGGCTCTGGAGCAGTCTACGCTGTACTTATCATGCTGTAAAAACAGGATCTTAGGAGAACACCTATAGATCCTATGCTCCTTTTGCCATTTACACTCTATTTAAAGCCCTGTCCCTTCTCTTATATTTCTTTATAAGAACAATTCTCTTCTTCAAAGTTTTGGAGCCTATTTCCTTTTAGTGCTTGCAAGCCAGCTATTAGCCCTGGATCCATGGAAGAATGTTAGCTGCCTTCTCCCTATGTGTTTTCATGCAGCTGCTGGTTCTCCAACCTATCCAATAATAATTATGTGAACAAAAGGAACTCTTCCTTTGTGCTTGATGCTCCTATCACAAAAAGAGTGGTTCTCAGTTTACACATGGCAAGCAGCAAGAGAAGCCAGCCACAGCTCCATCAGGGCAAGGCAGTTGCTTCTTTTCATTCTAGAGAAACTATTATAAAGCAACTACTTCTGCCCAACAACTCTGTCTTCTTGTAAAGACACTGATATTTTCAAATAGATCTGTTATATTATGTCCCATGGTTCAAAAGGACTGCTTTAGGAGAACTTTCGAAGTATCTGCTAAAAACAAATTGTAAAAGCAGGAGCTCATCTTGCAAAGGATATAAAACCAATCAAAGAATCAAGCTACTATGGGAAGAACTGAAGGGCATTATTTCCAAAAATCAAAAGTAGCCTCCCAAAAGGTGTAACTGAGAAATGGGAAAGCCACAGGCCGGAAAATATTCTTAAAAAATAAACAAAAAGAGAATGGAGCAAGTCAACACTTAAGGAAGGACGACAATTTGCTAAACATGGTCCTTTCAATGCCTTCAAGTTACATGGTAATTATTAACTTTTGCCATGCTGACTGTAATCACTGCTGACTAAAAATGAAAAACATAAATTCTTACCGTCAACGGCCAATGATACAATGCCTTGTGTGTCCTCAACTCCATACATCACATCACAGCGATACACCCCTGCATCACTTGCACGCAGCTTAGAGAAAGTCAGCGAAGCATCACCAGTCTCCTCTGAATGGGTTGGAACAGACACCCTGTCTTTGTAGTTTTGGCCTATTTTGATGTTCCCATTCTGGGCCACCAGGACCGTGGTTTCTTTTGCATCTTTTCCACTTTTATCCAGTTCAACCTTTGACCATTTAATTCGAAGATATTCAGCTGCATAGCTGGAGGCTATAGTGGGTGTGGTTGAAAAGAAGCATGGCAGGACTGAAGTTCCAGACAGGGATCCCTTCACCAGGGTTTTTTTTTCTGCTTTAACTAGAAGATGGAGGGGGAGAGAAAGGAGATATTGCATTAGTGGACCAGCAAATTCAGAAATATACATTTCACTGGCATTTAATGATTAACAGACCAGAATTCCATGAACCTTAGTTGGTTCATAAGAGCTCTGCTCATTGCAAGGTAAAAAAGAGTTTGTACCAACAACCCCAGCCCTTAGTTGAGCCCCTTCCTGCCTGGACAAATTAATTCACTGATTTATTTATTTATGATTCTTTGATTTATTTTCTCCATTTGTTATTGTAGTAAAGTAATCAACTTTCTTTGGAAATTATTTTAAAGTTTATAGATGGCAGCTGAACTGTAAGAACTATGTTTTCATTCTTCAATGGAGTAAAACCACTCTCAGTGACAGCTGGCCAGTTATCACATATTTGTTTCTGGGAAACAAACAAACAAGCGAACAAACAAAAAACAAACAGGCATTTAGGGGAGCTACTGACTTTTACTCCTTGTCTTACCTCAAAACAGCATGTTCATGTGCTCAAGTCCTAGAAGTATGCAAAGTCATAGGCTGTTTTACATTGCACCCCTTACACCATTAGTCTTTCAAAGGTTAACTCTTTATTGCATACATGCTGAAACAAAAGCCTTTCCAGTTATATCCTCCCAACTAGTCATTCTTTCAAAATTATTTCCTTGTAGCCTAGGGGCCATTAACACATTGAAGAAATGAAGTATTTTAGGATGTTAAAGCAAAAAAGGAAGCAAAGTGTGCAGAAAGTCCCTACTTGGCTCAAACTTGACTTGATAGGACTTTTATCATGTTTATGACATCTCCAGCTGCAAACACTTTACAGTGAAACGCTTCCATCTGACAATATCCTGAGGGGAAAGTTGACTACTGTTCATCCAACCTGCACACAGCAACTGTCTAAAGACAGGATTTCAGTAAGATTTATTTTCTGTGTCATGTTATTTCACCATATTTAATTGCTTAATGAAGATTAAAAGCTGACATATAATAGAACCTATATCTCCTCTTTCACTGACCTGCACTCACACATTTCTTCAAAGGCTGAATAAGATGATCAGCAATTTTAAGTCAGCTAAGATTCACGACGTTTAGAATGAAAATATCTTCAAATACCAGCCACCAGCACAGTGAAATAAGAGACACCAGCACATGAACATTACCTAGCTATTTATCTATCTCTATTTATCTATCTATCATCTATGCACAAAAGGAGTAGAACATTTTGAAACACAAAAGAGAGAAGGAGAAAGGGAAAAGAAAAAAAAAAAGAAACTGCTTATTGATTATTTTAACAGCAACAGGTGACATTGTGTAGCATAAAGAATTTAATAGTATCATGTAAAGTATCATGTTCAATACAACAATCAGTAGCTTATTGGCCATGAATTTTGGTAATAAAGAACTAATCTGAAAAAGAAAAATACCCAGAAATTGGAACAGAAGTCCTTAGGTCATTTCCATTCATGCCTACCTAAACTGAAATGCTTGGGAACACAACACAAAGACAATCAAGATATCTGTATCAAAACTGATTAGACCAGAGAAAGTATAGCAGCAATGGTGTAGTGCTGTGTGAATACAACTGCACTGCATATAATCTCAGCTGAAAAGTCCACATGGAACTAGACTGTTTGAGTAGATCTACCAGCAAGTTGCTTCACTCTATGATTCAGGCATGCACTGAGATTTTCAGGCTTACTTTAACAAGCAAGCAGAGACTGCTGATGCTACAACTCACATGTAACAGTCAAGCATTAATTGCTTCACACAGCCCGGTCCAGATTTAGCAAGAATCTGTATGTAAAACAAGGGATAACAAAAACAGGACCAATATAAAACTGAAGACTAGAGAAATTGCAAACTGAAATTGAAGACAAGCCTGTAGAAGTTACAAAAGACTAAACACCAGTTCAAAAGCTTTGATTGCTAACACGTTGATTTGGGTAAAATAAATAAATAAATAAATAAATAAATAAAAACACCACCAAACCACTGAAGCAAGAATTTGGGGGAAGTAAGATACCACTTACAAGGAAATAAAACATTGACTTCCCTAATGTTAATTGATTGCTAAAAACTTGAAAGGGCTGCTTTTATTCTGAAGATTTATAATAGGAAAACATCACTGGCTCTTATATCACCTTTAATTTCTTGAAACATCATTGAATTACCGTGGGGTAGAGCCAGAAAAATAGAATGAAGACTTAGTCCTATCAGTTGTGATGGAAAAACTGCCAAATTGCACAGGTGAGAGATTAAAATCAGTCTCAAAATATTTAGCATTTATTATGATCTTTTGTCATCTATATACATTACAGGAACTTCTTAAATGAAAAATGACCTCGTTACAATTATCTTGACTGACGGAATTTTAATAAACTTTCAAGAGTGTTGTTTCTGGTTATGTGTGATCTGGAATATCAGTACTGAACCCTGAGGAAATATATTCTCTTTAAAAATTGTGTCTTCACATCAGTAGACTGAAACCCTTGGCAGCGAAAACATATCATCATGATATGCAAACTAGATTTACCCTACACAGGACCACAATCTAGAAAAGGGGAAGACCACGTAGGTACAAATATATATCTAAATGTAGTAAGCATTATAAAGTGCTTTTTAAAAGCACTTTATGTTTTGACTAGCAGATGAGGAGAATGAGCAAAAAGACAACAGAAGGTGAGAAAAGATCTTTTTCACTACTGAAAAAAAAATATATATATATATATATATATATATATGTTTGACATTAAAAGCTAGGAGATGTTACTTCACGGTAACAAAAAACTTGGTTTCTTGCAGTAGTCCAAGCAGAATTTACTGGCCAATGGAGAAAGTATCAATATCTTTTATTAATCCATATAGCCTTTTTTTTTTCTTTAGTATTTTCCCTATGCTTGTACTCTAATGTTGTGTCTCTTTTTGAGCTATTATGCATGTTATGTGACAGACTATTCCTTAGAAGGAATTTGAACACAACTTGAGAAAAGTAAGTATTGCCCACATCACAAGCTTTCCAAGTGTTCCATATCATCACTGTTTCATGACATATCTTCACCTACCCATGTAGGACCTAAAATACTGGTAATATCATGCATTCTTCAGCAAGAGATGGTTCTGAAATGTCTAAACTGGCTGGCAATTAATGTGAGCATTCTGTCACTAACTAAAATGTATCACTCATGGGCATACTTAATTCATTAGTGAAAATGCACAGACAATAAAAAAATAAAATACACAGTTAAATCCAAATCACCTGGCAACAGACACGTCTTGGCAGAACTCCCAGCAAAGTCAATGGGAGCTTTGTACAAGATGATGGGACTGCAGTGTCAGGCTCAGAGCACTTCGTACAGGCAGCTTACCAGCAAGTCCTGTGGGCCTTAGCATTTGGGTTTTTGTGTCTTCCTCAATTTAAATATTAAATATCTCCAACATCAGAATAAGTAGCATGAGTAGAATGAAGACCTTTCCTATGTGATACCTCAACAAAAGACAGTCCTGTCAGGTCTAAATTACTGGGTAGGATTTTCACAGACTTAGTATTGTGCTATCTTCCCCAAACCTAAAGCTAAGATATATTAATCTGTTTATCATGGAGATGATGGCACATAGTACTTTTTTTCTTAAAGTAAAATAAAATAAAATAAAATAAAATAAAATAAAATAAAATAAATAAAATAAAATAAAATAAAATAAAATAAAATAAAATAAAATAAAATAAAATAAAATAAAATTAAAATAAAATAAAATAAAGTAAAAATTACAGCTTGACTTTTCACACTATTTTTCCCCCCTAGCAAAAATGCCGTAGGTCTTCCTAGTCTACCATTTTGGCTGTAAACATAACTTATCTTGCCAATGACATATGGCTTGCTATCTTTCTTTTGAAGTTGGAGAAAAACTATAGAAAAACTTCTCACTTGAAAGCAAAGCATCTCCATAGAATTCTTTGTACATTTTGTTTATTTATTTATTTATGGTAAATGTTACAAAACTCTTAAAGTAAAATTTTAAACGATAAAAAAAGGACAGAACTCTGCCATGTTGTATTACACTAACCATGTGAAAATACCAATAGGTATGGAATGGACAAAAAGTGGAACAAATGCCTTACGTGAAGTGACAATGTTTATAGGAACAATTTTGCTATGAAATTAAGCTTCACTGAACAGAATGTTGTTACACAGTAAGCAGACAAAAAAATGCTTAAAGGATAAGATTTTATTTAAAACCACATTTATGAGATAAAAGTAATCTCATTTTTGATTTCATCCACAACCTACATATACATACGATATATCTGTCAAGAGCAACTGAAATGACCAATGAAGTTGTGTGTTCTGTTAATCTGACTACTAATAATAAGTCTAAGAGAAGTCTTTTCACTAACCCTAATTTCATTAACCCTTTTTTAAATGAAGATATTCAAAAAATAAAATTAATAGACTGCTTGCACAAACTTATATGAAACTTTGGGAGCAGACATAACTGAGGACCAAGACCCAAAGAAATTTTAATAACATAATAAAAAGCTTGCCATGCAAATATGCTAGGTATTTATGAACATGACCATTCAAATAAGTGAGAGTGGAAGAGAAAACAAATACATGAATAATAATTAGTGATGAATGCATAAAATTTTGAATGCCTATAAGTTGTGCTGTTCTAAATTAAGCTTCAGCTTTGTTATGGCTTAATCTGACCCCAGATTCCAGGATTTACACTTTAAAAAAAAAAAAAAAAAAAAAGAGGAAGAAGGGAAGGGGAAGGGGAATGTTGAGGTGAACATCCAAATCAAGCCTTTCAGGGCCACTGGCAAAGAAAGGGAAGTGTTTAGGATGATGTTCCTGAATAATTGAAGCAGCCTGAATGATGCCAAAATTGACCATCAGACTGAATGACACATGATTAAAGAATCAGATAGGAAAATAAGGTTAGTTACCAAGTATTACAGATGCTTAGTATTTTCAACTGAAATTTAAAGTTTTCAACAGAACATATTTCCTAGTAGAAAATGCCAACTCACCAGAACTTATTTTTTATAAATTAATTGTTGTTTTTGTGAAATTCCCCATATGAGTTTTGAAAGAAAGACTTTAAGTTTTCAGAACAGTTTTGCCTGAAAGGAAATATTGCTATTAATTATATGCAAGTGACTACTTAATTAAGACATATGGGGTTACCAGATCCATTCCAGGAACAGAGGTATGGGAATCTGTGGTTCATGAAAGATTTTGAGGCATAAATTTTGCATTCAAAAGCAGGATGTTAAAAAAATTGAAACTTAAGAAATTCCTTAATCATCCAAATGTAAACACAGATTTCATTTTAAAAGTTTGCTTTGCTTTTAACTAAAGTAACAGCTGTATTAGAAAAGTTTGTGATCTTGTAGCACCTATCCTCAAAAATGTGTGTATATATACACACAAACTGACTGTTAACTTCTACAAAACAGAAGGATATGGATCAATCCCAGACTCTATTGGATTGATTTATGAAAATGTTTTCATCATCTTTGTCCTCTCCACCACGGCCACACTCTAAGGAATCTCAGGTTTAAGAATGTTTGCAGCAAAAGTACAACCCTCAGCTTTGAAAATAAAACTCATGAAGTTTACAGTGTATTTCAAGGAACAAAAGAGTTTTTCTACACTTCTTCCAAAAGCTTCAGGTGAATAAAAACAACTTGGAACTTGGTCTATATTCCTGAGGTGACCTTTCCAGCACTTTCACATAGAACTTTTTGTTTGCTTGAAATTCTATTCTGGAGGTCACAAAAGCAATTTTAGAGGTGATCAAAGGTGGATTAAATTAGGAGACATCTAAAGGTGCCATCCTGTGTTCCACCACTATAAGGGTCAGACCCACTTCTCCCCCCAAACTCCCAGTCCCCTAATTCTGCCAGCTCAAGCGGATATGAAAAGCATTGAGAAAGATCAAAGACATAATCCAACTGAAAACTAAGCTGAAAAAAAAGAAAATAACCAACCAAAAACAAGTCATCCACTTTCCGGCAAATCATTTACCTGATTCAGCTGGCCATATATGATAAATAAGTGTCATCACAAAGCAAAACATGCCAACTAGCACCAGGGGATAGAGAAAGGGCAGAACTACCCCATCTAATACTAAAATATATGTGAGATTAGATATAATAGCCCAAATATAATAGCCCAAAATAATCATGAACAGACTTTAAATCAATCATAGCAGAAACATCAGGTTTAAATATCTTGTCAGATTCCTTTCATAGGCATTGGAATGGGCTTCCCAAGGAAATGGTTGAGTCACCATCCCTGGAGGTCTTTAAAAGGTGTTTAGATGTAGATTTTAGTGATACAGTTTAGTAGAGGACTTGTTAGTGTTAGGTCAGAGGTTGGACTAGGTGATCTTGGAAGTCTCTTCCAACCTAGATGATTCTGTGATTCTTTACCGAGTCCTGCACCTGGGGCGCAATAACCCCAAGCAGAGCTACAGGCTGGGAGATGAGTGGTTGGAAAGCTGCCTGGAGGAGAAGGACCTGAGAGTATTGGTTGATAGTTGGCTGAATATGAGCCAGCAGTGTGCTCAGGTGGCCAAGAAGGCCAACGGCATCCTGGCTTGTATCAGAAGCAGTGTGACCAGCAGGGCTAGGGAGGTGATCGTCCCCCTGTACTTGGCTCTGGTGAGGCTGCACCTCGAGTACTGTGTTCAGTTTTGGGCCCCTCGCTACAAGAAGGACATCGAGGTGCTTGAGCGGGTCCAGAGAAGGGCGACGAAGCTGGTGAGGGGCCTGGAGAGCAAGTCCTACGAGGAGCGGCTGAAGGAGCTGGGCTTGTTCAGCCTGGAGAAGAGGAGGCTCAGGAGCGACCTTATTGCTCTCTACAGGTACCTTAAAGGAGGCTGTAGAGAGGCGGGGGTTGGTCTGTTCTCCCACATGCCTGGTGACAGGACGAGGGGGAATGGGTTAAAGTTGTGCCAGGGGAGTTTTAGGTTGGATGTTAGGAAGAACTTCTTTACCGAAAGGGTTGTTAGGCATTGGAACGGGCTGCCCAGGGAAGTGGTGGAGTCAGCATTCCTGGAAGTCTTTAAAAGACGTTTAGATGTAGAGCTTAGGTATATGGTTTAGTGGGGACTGTTAGCGTTAGGTCAGAGGTTGGACTCGATGATCTTGAGGTCTCTTCCAACCTAGAAATTCTGTGATTCTGTGATCTCTCCTTACATGCTTTCCATCCCAAGATCAGTTATCAGTTTAAAATCTTTATACCTCTACTCCTTTGAGTGATGTACTACAATTCACTCCATTTTAAAGCTGACTAATTATGGATAACACTCTACCGTATCTTAAACCAGACATTTCTGCCTTGAAGAAAGCTATAACTTAGCAAGTAAAAAGTTATAAGTTTGCTATGTAGACTTACATTACCAGTTCATGACCTCTTGTGATCATCACTTACTTTGTCTCTCAGAATGTTTCATATGAACAAATTATTAAATGCCTGGTGTGGATCCAAAAGCCATACATCAATGTGCATTTACAGACATTTTACTAAGTAAAAAATGGGGGAAAACAGCTTAACATTTAATAATCAAATGAATCTCTGCCCTTCTTGAATTAGAAAACGGAAGCTCAGTTTTCATGTCTTGCCCTCTCTCTGAAGCTTTGAGTTTGTTGTCTGTGAGGATGACTCTAATCATCCTGGTTTGTTGTGTTCTTAGTGAAGACTGGAGTAAAAAATTAATTTTAAGGAGGAAGGCTCCCAGCCTGCTTGAGGAAGAGGAGGAAAAAACATATTTTTAAGTCAACTCCACTAAACACAACACTCTTTTCCTTTATCTTACAAGACTACCTAAAGACTTTGCTAGACACGGTATAAAAATAGGATAAAAATGGGTATATTCGATTTTCTAAAGGCTAAAATCAGTTCCTAAACAGGAAATAAAGAAAGAAAGAAAAAAAGGAGGGAAGAAAGAAGGTAGGAAGAAAAGAGGGAGGGAAAAATGAGGGAGGAAGGGATGGAGGGAGGAAGGTAGAGAGGGAAAAGCAGAAAGAAGCAGATAAAGTATAAGTAATAGAAGGAATACAAGAAGAAAAATTCGTGTCTTGCCTTGAGCCTTGGGGAAGTTATTATCCCAGTTTTTTGAGTTTGCAGCAGCTGTAGGGGCTTTTTCCTCACTAGTCTTGAATCAAAATTTCAAATACCAATAGCAACCACATATGAATAGGTACTTCAGTTTTAACATGTTATCACCATGAGAAGCAAACACGGCTCTTCCTTTCCACCCGAAACTAAGACCTGCACCTGCCTTAAGATGTCCTTGCTCTAAGCCCCAGCAGCCAGGAGCGTGCCACTACTCCAATCAGGTAAGCTGACAGCAGCCCCTCACAACAGAATGTCTGGCAGCCGCACTGCCCACCACAGCTGCGTGCTCCTAAGTGGGCCACAGAGCCAAGCATAAATTGGGGCTACTGGTTTTCCCCATACCCCATCTGTATGTATATATGTACCTTTCACCCTGAATACAGAGAGGGTGTCAGTGACCTGTAAACCCAAAAGGCTTCGGTGGTATGACTTACATGAGAACAGTCATTGGAACCTGACGGGTAGGTATGCCCTAAGAATCCCCCACTTTATTCACCACTTCCGCAGCTTGTCTACGTCCATCCTGGCAGTCTGTTCTTGCTCCTCATCAGCAGCACTGAAGCCCTTGTGGAGGGTGTCTGCACTAAAATTAGCCCCTAGCAGCCCTCACCTTATCTACTGCAGAGAAGCTCTTCTGTGAATCAGGCTGAATGTACGAGGCATATCTGAACAATAGGTCCAACATTTCACAAGCACAAGCTAAAGGATTAAGACACATTCTTGAACATTTGGAGAAGGCAAGCTGTTTTGCTTCACGCTATGTAATGTTGTTATCACGCTATGCTACTGCCTTTATCATCACTTGAATTATAGTATGGCACTTACAAGCCTCCGGAGACATCAGACAGGTGTGTAAAAACCTCGTCAAAAGCATGCCCACCCACTAAGTGTTTTTTGTATAAATCAGTAAGGTAATAGGGAGAAAACAGAAACAAAGTTAGGTACACAGTACAGTAAAGACAGTGGCAGAGGCAAGAGCAAAAGCCAAATCTCCTAAGTCCTGGGAAATATTCTACCAATTCCCATTGTCACTAAAATAAATATTACTAAATGAAACGGTATATAACAGACTTACCTTTAGGTAGCATATATGTTATAACTAACGTGGAGCACATCCATATGATACTTTTTATATTTAACAACATCTTGACCTACAAATAAAGAAAAAAGGAGTAAGTGGTTAGTAGTACATTGTGTGACAATTCAGTACATTGACATTTATCATTGACATTAGAAGGAGTAATCTGCTCGGGAAAGATGTTCAGCAGGACAGTACAGTAATCCTTAATACACTGATCTTTTGGCATTTTATTCACTGTTTTAAACCTAATTCCATACAGCAGTAGCAGTACATGGATGCAACATGACGACTTCTCCCTGGTGAGGTCTTGCCAGTTCAGCTCCAACCTTCAGGTGACTTTATGTCTGTAACACAGACTGTCTTATCATTTAGCACCAGCAAACAACCTGTTGTGCATGAAACAGTTCTGAAAATGTTTCCCCTGAATCTGCAAATACCCTGAAAAATTAAGAAGCATGCTAACGAAAGCATTATAATTCCCATAAATGTCAACAATTATGATGCTTTTGTAAGTAGTCTCTCCTCCACATAGCTACACATATGCACTATCTAGCCATCATAGGGAACAGCTTTCAAAAGCAGTTCGTCAAGCACTGACCTTAAAAAAAAGTTTTTAATCACAAAATCCCAAGTTTCCTGATATTGCTGCCAAAATACACTGCTTGGGTTCTGAACTTGGGCAAGTAACCCGAACTCAAAGACATCACAGCTGAATTGCTTTATGGAACAGCGAAACAGAGATTTAGTAGATACAGACCTGTGTTATCTCTATGAACCTTGTGTTACATATACATATTTTAGCATTTTTTACATTAGCATTTTAATATCTTGCTCTTTACATGTAAGGTTTCAGGGTTAAGGCATTAACAAACAAACCCACAAACTTCCGCAAGCTATCCCGAACATGACAGCAAGACAGAGTTAACTTCTTCAGAAAGCTACTGGTGATGTGTTCAACCTCAGGGAAGTTTTCCACACAGCTTACAGCTTTAGCCCAAACTTTATGGGAGTCTGTGTGAATTGGCATCTACCCTGTAATGGCTGGATGGTTGAGAAAAGATGCAAAACATCTCAAACCAAGCCCTTCCAGTGAGTCAATCTCTAGTATAACAGCATTGTGTTCAAAATTCCCACCCAAAAGGGTTGAAAACCCAAGAGTTTTTCATTCCCTATATGCGGATGGCTAGGGCTGGCTGGTTGCACTGGGAAACATGTGCTGCAGCCTATTCCCAGGGTGTGGAGGAAAAGAATACAGCTGCTTTCCACAGAGCAGGCTGCACCTTGCCAAAGACGCCCCATCTCTGCTTCATCCACTCGACAGCGCTCAGAGCATGATGTGATATCACTGATTTGGCAATGTTAACTTCACAGGATTTTTATGACTGAATCCCAAACAAGAACCAAGACCTCTTTGACTTCATTCAGTTCGAGGACTATCCTCCATTAAACTTTTCCTGAAGACTCTAACGCCAGACAGACAGTTTTATCTTCCCTACAATTTGCACAAGCAAAGTTGTACATGGAGAAGACAAAAGTGGCTATTTTATAACTCTCTATAGTTATTAGTTTGATAAAAATCTATTCTGTGTTCAGTATACCAAGCCCCCACAACACACTGAAGGCACTGATGAGCAAGAAGGTTGCACATGGTAAGAGCTGCAGATGTCAGAGTCCTTCTAAAGCAGTGGTCCAGTTTTCAGACACAGGCAGATATTTGTTTGCTTAGATAAACACTTAAATTATCTTCATTATTACACAACATCTCAGAAAATGAGAGGTCACGGTGAGCCTACAGATGTGCACAAACCAGAAGATGCTTCAAGCATCCCTTGAGTCCTGAAGCTTCTGGGAAGCCTCAAGCACCAAAGCCACTGCAGAGCAGCTTCTCAAGTAACACAAGCACTCTGAAGAGTGGAGAAGAGAAGACCTACAGCATTCTCCACCCTCACATACGGTGAATGCAGGACCCGCCCGCGGAGCAAGAGCTCCGGCCTTTGTGAAGGCATGATGGCTCCAGATCTCCCTTTGAGCTGCTCTGTCCACATGTGTTTCCCATGCGTCACACACTGGCTGTATCAGCAGCTAAACAAAAATCTAGAACAAATTGTTTACAAGTTTAGCTTTTGTGTTTACCCATATGCCTCATCTCCCGCCTCCCCCAGAAGGCAACCTTGGATTTTCTGACCAGAAACAAGGGAATCAACAATGAAATCAAACAAATTCACAAAGAAAAAGGAACTAGCAAAGGGCTTTCATTTTCCCTTGTGCTGTGGCTCCAGCATGTATGAAGGATCACATCCTCCCATTCCTCTCTACCTTGCATACACACACACAGCACCATAGATCCAGCCCTGCATGGGTGACTGCATTATAAAAGCAATTTGAGGAATTGTATGGAAAACAACACCTTCAGCTTTCAGCCACGAAAAACACATATACCCCAAAAACATACGGAAGCAGAAAAGACAGCTATGGAGAGATAACTTCCTGCTGTAGACCAGGTGGTACTAAACCATCAGAGTATTCATGGTTGTGATCTCTACTCTTGGCCTTGTACAGAAGGCTGCTGAAATTACACCTGCTGCATTGAGAGCTTGGACAGCTCAAAAATAAATAAATAAATAAAATCACCCTCATTTGAGCAGAGTTCAATATGAGATACCTGCCAAAAATCCCCACCCAGCACTTGGAAAATCACCGCTCAACCCTTTCTTTTTTTAAATCTCCTCCACCCTGAGGCTCCTAAGCAATGAAAAATGCTGGAGAAAGGGTTCAATTCTCACCCCTGAGATTCATGAACATGACTCCCATGCAACACACCATACATGATGGTTTTCACACTCTGGTCCTCTGCAGGCTCCCATAAACACTCCTGGGTTACTGAGTGCTGCTCCACTACAGCTGCCAGAATTAAATGTGCAATCACCCCACCGCCTTGTCTAAGCAGCAGACAAAAAAAGCAATACCCAACTCAGCCCCCAAGGGCAGTCTCGCCTGGAAGGAGAACACAGGGCTCTTCAGACCCCAGCAATCATTTCAGGAGCTGCAGGCAAGGCAGGGCACTGCAATCAGATGGCGCTGCTCCTGCCTACGCTCCTTGTACCACAAAGACTGCAGCTGACTGTGCTCCTGGACAAAATCCCTGCTCTAAAATCAGTTGTATTTCCCATCCTGCTCTCTGCAAAGGCCTCTGCTGGCTGGCAGCTGTACTGCCCCAAAGTCCACAACAATTAGCCAAACTCTTTCCAATCATACCTTTTTCCATACACTTTTTTTTTTTTTTTTTTTTTTTTTTTGCCTCGGTGTCATTACACCTTGAGGAAGAGAAAGCCATAATGCTATGGACACAGCAAGAAAATCCTGCCAACTAAAGGCTGCACGACTTGAGTAAGTGTTTAATTTCCACCTTCTATTTAAAAAAAAAAAAAGTGTCTTACTTCATGTGACCACACTCAGGATGCCTGCTGGCTAGTGTCCAACTGGACTGGTCCAGTTTATTAGGAGCTACTGCATACAGACTGATCCACAGAAGTCATTTGCACTACATTTCTAAATTGGATGCGACCCTGAGCACAGTAAATTTTTTTAACCAAAAGATGCCAAGTCCTTGATATACTTCACATCTTTAAAAACTAGCAGAGGAGGTTCTCTCTTTGGGGAAAGAATAGAGCTCTTATTTTTGCAGGCACTCTTACTTTCCTTGCAAGAGCAAAGAGGCATAGGAGCAATAAGTTCTGACCTTATTCCAGCCTGTGCTTAGTTTGCAGTGTAAGCTTGATCTCACACCAATGCTATTTTAATTTAACCAGATGGGAGAACATCACGTCTCTCTTTCTAATACCGGGTTAACAAAGACAGCGAATTGTCCCGGTGTGAGACAGACTGACATGTACCAACCAAGAAGTCTGCCCAGCTCCTCTGAAGTTGGAAAAATGAGACATTAGCTATTTTCCTAGAGGTGATACTGTCACAAAAGGGTGCAGCTTCTCAGGTTGTGCTGAGATTGATTCAGCACATTTTCCACAGCTGGACTGCGAGAGCTGGATATGTTTGCAGAAAGCAGTCTCTACCCATCTACCCTCCTTGCCTGCACAGTGAAGGTAAGGCTCATACAAAGAAAGAATTAAAAAAAAAAAAAAAAGGAAAAAAAAACAACACCTATGAGAACCTGGCACTGGAGACTTGAGGTTGCTGCTCCTACTAATGGGTAAACCAGCAAATTACACAACTTTCCAGCAAAGCCTGGGCAGGCTAGAAATGACCTATCCCAGATGCAGCATCTCTCTTGCTGCTCTCTGAGCACTGGCAGACACCTTCACGGCTCCCACCCTTCCTCAGAGACACAGGCTCTGTGCCGTATTCTGCGTCTGCATGCCTCTAATCCTTCCTTCAGTGACAAATTAATTGCCAACACTTATCAGCTTTAGTGTAAGTGCCGTTTAATTGACTTTACTGGTGACACTACGCCTCGGCCATGTGATTAATTAGTGGGCCGTGCTGCCACATGGCCAACTTGGCCTCGGTCTGCTTCACCAGCGGCATCTGCTCAGCCTGTCACCACTTGCAGAAGACTGTGAGGCCTTCACAGAGGACCTGAGGGCACCTCCAGCATCGCCTCCTCACCACATAAGGCACGGAGGGGAGCTCCCCAGCCTGCTGCCGGCTGTCCCAGTCGTCATCGGGACGCAGATGGGAAGCTGACCAGAGCACAGCGTGTTCTGGCAGCTGCCCCTGGACGTCCCCCCGAGGCCTTCATTTAACACAGAAGCAGCCCTGTCCCTTCGGGCAGCCTCACGGAGATGCTCCAGGACCCCCCCTGAGGGGTGTGGGGGCTCCCAGCACCCCGTGCCCCTTGGCTTGAGGGGACAAGCCGAGCCGAGGCCACCAGCCCCTGCCCTCCAGCCCTCCTCCCCGCCGGCTTCGGGCCTGTTCCGTGGGAGCCGCCCCCAGCACGGCAACGAGACTGGGACCCCCGCCCCGAGCAGCTCCTCCCTGCCACCATTTTATGGCCGGAGCCCCCCGTCCCCCGCCAGGGGGCGCCCGGGGCCGCCGCCGCGCCCCGACCCGTCCCGTTCCTCGACAGCGCCCCGGGGGGCTCCGCCGCGGCACCCCCCGGCCGGACCCGCCGCCCCCCGCCCCATTCCGCCCTCCAGCCCCCCCGTCTGGGTGGGGAGAGAGGATGTGAGGGCGTTTTGGGGTGCAGACGGTGACCCCCGCCTCCCCCGAGAGGCCCCCGGGTCCGCCCCGCCGCCAGGGCGCTGCGCGGCTCGCAGCCCGCCAAGTCTTACTCATCCCCTTTTGGAAGGAAACTTCCTTCTTTCTCGCCCCCTCCGCCACCTCCCTTTTTCTTAAAAAAAAAAAAAAAAAAAAAAAAAAAAAGGGAAACCACCCAACATTCACGCTCTGGTTGTCCAGGATGGGTTTCTGCAACACGTTTCGACATTCATTGCTTAGAGGAAAAAAAATAAAAAAGAAAAAGAAAAAAAAAAAGGAAAAGGAAAAAAAAAGGGCTGGGGGGAGGAAAGAAAAGAAGAAAAGAAAAGAAAAGAAAAGAAAAGAAAGAAAAGAAAGAAAAGAAAAGAAAAGAAAAGAAAAGAAAAGAAAAGAAAAGAAAAGAAAAGAAAAGAAAGAAAGAAAGAAAAGAAAAGAAAAGAAAAGAAAAGAAAGAGAAAATTGAAAAAAAAAAGAGAAGGAAAAAAGGCAAGAGGGGGTAAAGGGAGGAAGGGGGAAAGAAAAAAAGAGGGAAAAATAAGGAAAAAAAAGGGGGAAGAAAAGGGGGAAGGGGGAGAGGAAAAAGAAAGGAAAAAAAGAGGAAAAATGAGGAAAAATAAAGGAAAAAAGAGGAAATGAGGAAAAAAGAGGGGAAAAAAAGAGGAAGGGGAGGAAAAAAGACTAGGAAAGGGGAGGAAAAAGAGGGGAAATAAAAGAGGAAAAAAAAAGAGGAAAAAGGGGAAAAAGAAAAAAAAATCATTCGGGGTTTAATCCCGGTGCCCGGCGGGAGAGGGGGCGGCCGGGAGGACGTGACAAGTGGGACAATGAGGGCTGTCCCTCGGCCGCTCCCCGCCGCCCCTTTGTGTGGGGAAGGCACCTCGGAGCTGCATGGAGGGGGCTGCCCGCGGGGCCCCCTCCCCGCGGGGTACCCGAGCCCCTGGCAGAGCCGCCCCCCGGCACACACACACTCACACAGACACGCACACACACCCGCTTTTTCCCGCCGTCGAAACTCCCTTAATTCCTTCCACGATGCTCTCTCACTTTCTTTGTAAAACAAAGGAAAACCCAAGGAGAGCGGCGGGGGAAGGCAGTGCCCCGTGCCCCAGAGAAGCTGGCCGCGGGGGTGAGAGGGGGCGTTTTGCTCCGCTGACCTTGTGATCCTCCTCCTTCTCCTCCTCCTCCTCCCACTCACCCCCCCTTCCAGCGGTGGAAATGTGGCTCGGACGATGCCTGCTTGCCGTCCTCCTCCGGGAGATGCTGCCTGAGCACCTCCGTCCCGCTCTGCCCCGACAGCAGCTTTCCAGGAACATCGGGGAAAGAAAAGGAAACAGAAAGAAAAAAAAAAAAAAAAAAAAAAGAAAGAAAGGAAAAAAAATAAAAAAGAAGAAGAAAGAAAATAAAGAGAAAAGAGGGAAAGAAAAAAAAAAAAAAAAGGGAAAAAGAAAGGGAGGGTGGGGGGAGCACACAAGGGCGGAGGAGGCTGAGCACACGCTTTTCCCAGCGCAAGAAGAGACCTGGTGGCAGGAAAGGTTCCCTCCTAGCACTGCCGTCGCCCCTGCTACACGAGCGCTTTGTGTATTTAGGGTCCGTACAAAGCAGCTTCCTCCCTTCTCCCTCCGGACCCCGTCGCAAACCAAGGTGCAGTTCTACCTTCCCGGCCATTCAATCCAACTGGCACCAAAAACTTCTGCCAGGGCTCCCACCCCAAAATCTTTTTTTCCTAGTTTTCTTTGTTCTCCCCTGCGCACGGAGGGGCTTTTGCGGGTCCCCGAGCATCCCTTCTCCTCTCCCCCCGCGCGTCGCTGAACTTACCCCAGGTTGTTTAAATTCGCCAATCACCGCTATTCTCTCCCGCTCAAGGTTTGCGGTTCAACTCTTTGTCCCTCTCCAGGTACCGCCGGACAAACGATCGTCTTAAATTTAACAAAGCTAGGTGTTTGCCGGCACCCGCGTGAAAAGGAGGGGGAGAGAGAAAAAGCGTATTGAAAAGAGTTATAGTTACCTTAAAAGGTAGCGTATTGCAGAGATTGCAAAAAAATCACGGCGTGGCGGCTCGGCTAGTCCAGAGATCCCAGTGGCCGCATGAACGAGTTAAAAAAAAAAAAAAATCCCCTTGGTGGTGGTGGAGCTGGAAGGAGGTGGCCGGCTCCGGGGTGCCCCCTGCTCCCCGAACACCTGCCTCCGAGCTGCGCCGAGTTGCACGGAGCTCGCCTGCAAGTTCAAATGCGAGGCTCAGCCACCCATCATTATTATATCATTGTACTGCCAGCGCTGCAGAGGAGGGGCGCTGGCTCGGCGAGAGGAGGGTTCTCAGCCTCAGCCAGAGCCTCCCTCGCAATCGCAGCGCTCCCGCAGCTGCTGGGAGCGGGAGAGACCCCAAAGCCCTCCCGCAAGGGGCTCCGCGACCCCCCCTACAAACCCGCACCGCCCTCCGCGGGGAGTCCCCCGGGCAGCCCTTGGGGGTCCCGGCCCCCCGAAGTCACCCTCCCCCTCCCCCGGGGACCCCCGGACGGGTCCCTGCGCTCGGCGGCTTCAGCCCCGCGGAGAGGGGCACGCGGGTGCGGGAGGTGCATTGTTCCCCAATTAAACAATTAACCGGGAAGAGAATGGGGAGACCTCCTCCTCTCTGGCTCCCGAAGCCGCTTGCAATGGGGAAAGTGGCTGGGACCGAGATCCCTTTTTTCCCCCCTCTTTGCCTCCCCGACCTCAGCGGAGGCTGCAATGAAAGAATATGTTGGTGATTGTTCCAAACTTCCCCCGCCGCTGCCAATTCACAGGCAGCCTTGCATCGGCAGCCTCCCAAGCCAAGCTTCTCCACCCTAGTTTTACGCATCTCCAGCCACTTTTCTTTTCTTTCTTTCTTTCCTTCCCCCCCCCCCCCCCCCCTTTTTTTTTTTTCTCCTTGAGATTAGGCTCTGCATTTGCTGTCCAAACCTCTTGCAGATGAAGTCATAAGCAGAGCTCCAAATCACCCTGTAACAGGGGACTTTCACCAATTAAAAAAGGGTCTGGGGTGTTTCTCGGGCAGCTCCTTTCCCACACTGTACCTATCCCAGTTTGTGGCAGACACACACAGCTCCCCTCGGCCGGCACAAAATGCTGGCATGAACAGTGCCTCTGGCACACTGGCTCCCAGAGCAACGCGTGCCACGGCCCCCTTGTCCAGGAAGGTGTAAATCCAGAGTCAGAAAAGAAATGCCTGGAGAAATAGGTGTGTCTGACCATGCCGCTCTGGGCACGTTTCTGGCAGACCCGAGATACCATCGCGAGGAAGGCAGAGGAGGGGTTTTCCTCTGGTGCCTCTCACCCTCATTGTTCCAGCACCTCCATCCCTAGAGCCTTGCTGACAGTGGGTTTGAAACGAGCCCAGAGCCCTCACCTCCAAACACGGCCCTCAGTGCCAAGCTGCAGGAATGGGAGGTGGAGGAGATGACAGCCAAACAGGGGGAGACAGAAACCTGGTGGCTTTCACTGGCCCAGGTCAGTGTGAGCCTCACCTCGTCTCCAGACAGAGCCAGACCGTGGGGTGAAATCCTCACCTCGCAGACTCAGAGCGTGCCTCAAACAGGGTGAACCCACAGCTGCTCACTTCCAGAAAGGGCTCCAAGGAGCATACAATCGCCTTCTCTACATCCCCACCTCTGCTACCCCACCAGACCCCGGGGTCCCCAAGCTGGTGGTGTCAGTCCCAGCACATCCCCCATGCCCCCATCCATGCCCTGTCCCAGCGGAGCAGGTCTGTGTGGTGCTGGGCTGTGGGGTTCCCAAACCCTGAGCCTCGTGCAGCGATGTGGCCAGCAGAAACACAACTCAGTGCTTTCAGTTGGGTGCTATGACAAGTCGCAGGCATATTTTTGAGGCTTTTTGATGGAAATTCAGACAAAGGCATTACGATTCTGTTCAAATTGCAGGCGGGGGCTATCAGAGCTAACCCTGCTCCTTGCTCTGCCCTGGCCTCCCCTTCCCACCTTTGCTGCCGAGGCTGTGAGCAGTTCCTCTGAACAATGTTGGAATGAAAGAAGAAACTGACATTGAATTTCTCCAGCATTGGTTCGGACGAGCCCCTTCAGCTGTCCCTGCCATGAGGGGGTTGTGTGAGACCCACAAATAGGGATCTGTCCCCTCTCCCCACGCAACCTCTTGGGCCGCAGGTGAAACCCCTTGAGGACAGGTACTTAACCTGGGAATCTCTCCGGATCACCCCTGGACCAACCCAACCCCTCACAACCATCAGCCCCCACAGCCTCTTCCCTTTCCTGCAGCTCCTGGCTGAGGTGGTGGCACCCGTGTCACCATCCCAGGCTGCAGAAAGGGAGAGCAGAAGGTACCCAAGCGTGTCAGGTGCCTCCCCTTCTCCAGGCCACCCTCCAGAAGCACTGTCCCAGAGGACAAATGGAAATGTTGTACATGACCACGGTCAAACCAAAGGCTGTCTCCACCATCCTCTGGGCTACCCCAGTGCCAAGCAGCCCCAGCTCTGCTCGCATGCATCTAATTTTTCACAGCGGTTAAGAAAATAGATTATTTTTTAATAACCAGATATTAATTTTTACACACAGAGACCCACTCTACCATTCTTCTCCCACCCACTCCAAACGACAGAGCCCTGGTGGGAGCCAGACAATTGAGCTAGACGCTCATTCAGGGAGCCGGGAAGAAAGCAGGAAAGCAGAGGCTGGAGAAACCACCCCCTCCCCCACTCCTCCTCCTCTTCCTCCTCTTCCTCCCCGCCCTCCCCAGCCCAGCTGCCAAGCTCCTGGCACCCCTTAGGAGCCTCAAGGCCCCGGGGCGGAGGCTTGGTGGAGGCTGCTGGTGTCTGGGGAAGGGGGATTTGGGGTCTCCCCGCAGAGGTGAGAGGCTGTGCCTCCCCTATCCCGCAAAAAAAATCCCCCTGAACTGGGCTGGCTTGTCACTGCGGTGGGGAGGGACAATGGTGGCAGAGGAATAGGCCCTGGAGGCTGTGGGACAAAGGGAGGCCATGAAGGTGTCCTGGCAGAGTGAGGGCTGGAGAGGGGGCACAGGGAAATGTCCTTGAGGGCGACAGCCTGGGATGGCTGGCCTCAAGAAAGGAGACTGGGGATCAGGGGAGGCCCTCGGGGACCCCAAGAGAGAGGCTGGGGGAGGCCAGGACCTGGACCACCCCTTGGTGTTCTCATCCCAGCTCATCGCGTGAGCCCCTTCTTTCCTTGAGAGCTGGCATCCCTGCACAGGACCCAAACCCACCCAGAAATGCACCCAGAAACCAGAAATCCTTCTCTCTCCTCCTCAGCAAGACCATGCAGACTTCCTTCATGAGTTATGTCAGAGGCCTGAAACATTGTCTGATTTACTGTGAATGTCAGATATTTTTTCTCTGTAAATATTTTAGGCAAAGTAGAAACAGTAAACCTTTGCTCAGGCTGCCAAATGTCTCCCATGACAAATCATTGTTTTCAGATGTTCAGATTTGTGTGAGAAAACCCAACAAAGGGAAAATGTTTAGGCTTTGTCTCAATCCTAAAGCATGTATCGTTAGAGAAAAAAAATCCTTTTAGCTACGTCGCAGTCCAGAAATGATGAAAAATATTATTTTCATTACACACTTTTTAAGCACAGGTTTTATGTTACTGACTCAACAATGATTATCATTTCAAATGTGAACCACAGACCCTAAATGGTTCTTTATGAGAAACCATTGTTTTGAAATATCTGAAATTAATTAGACTGTGGCTATGGCCAACGTGCAAATATCAAACTGAGCATCTGTGTAGAAAAAAAGCTTCCCATCACTTGAAAGAATATTATGAATCTGAAATACAGTCTATCAAGGAAAAACTCTTTCATCTGGCATAGGTTCTCTCGAGCCATCTCCCCTGACAGGCACCTTTTCTTTAGCCTTTTCATGCTCTTTTCCCCCATTTTTTCCCCCTCCTGAGCAGCTGTGTGTGAAAAGCCCTATGTAAAAGTCAAGGAAATAATTCATGTAGTTTGGAAGCCAGCAGCACAAAGGTCAGTTCAGGCAAATCAGAGATCCTTGCAGAGTTACTCCACTTGGCCTACCAGCCCTGAAGGTCCAATTTCCCGTGCCCTTCAGCTTGCAGACAAGCCGTGCTGGGCCAGCTGCACTGACAATGAGCCCATGGCTCCAATTTTCCTCTTAAACATACTGAAGCATAGGTTGCTTCCTGGCTCTACTGCGAATCCATTATCTAAAACCACTGTGTTTTCAGAAACCACAAAGTCTTTTGAAACAATGGACTTTTGCAAGTTCTCAGATACCATACGTAAGAAAAGCTTTTTCCAGCCATTCTCTTTCCTGTCTCACATCAAGCTCATTTCCAGAGCCAAGCTAAAACTCTTCAGAGGAGTCAACCTTAGCAGCACTGGTAGCTGTAGTGAGAGTACAACCACTTTCCAAAATGAAACACTTGATGCCTTATGTCAATGTTTCTTTTGTGGCAAAACCCTTCTCCACCTACTTACACTCTGTAGCTCTGTAGCAAAGGAGAGAGCACAAAGCTATGAAACGCTATGAACGGAGTGTTTCGTTTGGTATCAGAACAAACCACAATTGATGGTTAGGTATTATTTCTGCATTACATGTAATGATGCAGACACCACACTATCTACACAAAGATAGTCAGCTTCCAGAGCAGCTGTCCTTTATCAGATGGAGGTCTGGGACACGGGGGACCTCAGCATCACTTGCCTGAGCAGAGACCTCCCTGAACAATGATATGTTCTTCTCCCACATTTTGACTCTGCCTTCTGTCCTGCCCTGGTGTTTCTATACCACAGTTTTTCAACACTACAGGCAAGGGGCAGGCTGGGTTATTTTACTCATGCAGAGTGGCTCTGCTTCCATAACTAACCTCACCAAAATGAGTGTTGGACAGGTGTTGGTGTACGGTGCTCCTCCATATACCCACAAGGCTCAGGCTTCGTTGTCAAGTTAGGCTCAGGGAACAGTCTGCTTTATGCAGCCAGACTCTCCAAAAAAGAGTTGCTTTCTGATTTTGGGGAGGAGCTGTCAGAGCAAGGAGGTCACCGAGACCTCCTTGTCAGATCAAGGAGGTCATCATCTCAACAATGATGCCTACGAGGAGCAGACACAGGGCAAGGAGGGAAAAAAACGAGCAGCTTATCAGTGTGGGGCAGCCCGAACCATAGTCAAGTGTTGTGCTAATCCCCGCTGTCCTGGGCTTCCTCTGATAAACTCCATCCTAGACACACATTATTTTTGTTTTGATAACACAGTGGCTGCATCACAAGCTTGAGTGCAGAAGTAATCCTGAAGAATCAA